GCACGACCATGGATTTCACAAGGACCAACGGTTGGATAACACTATTGGAACTGATGATTGCGGGCTGACGAAAGCGGCATTCTGCTACCTTAGTAAGCAAGAGTGATATCTTGCAGAAACGGCTTTCAGGATAATGCCTCTTTCGCCTCCGTCCAAATAAAACTTGGCAAGTCTCTAAGTACGTTCGAACCGCACACCGATAGCTCGGTGGTGCAGGCGCAGTTTAACGGATTCCTGCCTAGAGTCTGTCCTGGCTCTGAACACAGATGCCCATGAAGCTCTGTGTCAACCCTCGCATGGACCTCACTGCAAGCATAGGGACCCATGGGGACATTTTCGACTACTGCACATATACGGGGAGATAGCGGCTTAGAGTTTGGACCCACTCACACAAGATGATAAACGCACAACGAAATAAGGACAATGAAGGAGATGCATTCAGGAAGAGCAACTTGATGACAAGATCACCGGACAATAACGAGACAATGACGACCCACCCAAAGGACATCTCAGAGGCTGAAGATGGCGCAACCCTCAAACCGACGCAACAGACCCCTCTGCTTACGCAGAGCTCTACGTTGGGCTCCCCACGACAGGAACTGATCTATAAGATGCGGGCATTAGAAGAGAAGGCCTTATCAGAATGCAAGGCAATTCTAAGAAAAATGAAGACAGCGATGCAGAAGCAACGAAATATCAGCATGGACGTCAAGGACGGCACCTCAGAATTGAGCGAGCTTTTTGATGTTATCGAAAACTATCGATCCAGCTGGAAAACCGCAGAGCTGGAGCGCTCAAAGGAATCGAGGAAAGCCAACGATTACATATCTGGCAATACAGCGAGCGAGACCCCCGTTTCGACACTAAAGAAGAGGACGGCCACTAGCCCAGCAACGCAGGAGCTGAGCAAGAAGGTGCGAAATAAACCGGCAAACGACGGATTTCAAACGGTCACATACAAGAAGGGGAAAAAAGAAACAAAAACTAATGAAGGACATGCACGGCACAGTGGAGCTGAAAAAGCTAAAAGAAAAGCCTAGCGCAAGAACTCGCAATCGCCCAGAAGCCGTTCTTGTCAGACCGGCAGAGGGAAAGAGCTATGCCGAAGTGTTGGGCAGCCTGCGGAGAAACCTCAAACCAGAGGAGTCCGACAGCAATATAGTGTCGGTCAGAAAAACGAAGGCAGGTGACATGCTCCTGGAACTTGCCAAAGGGAGCCAAACAGAAAAACTATGTGAAAACATCAAGGACACACTTAAAGAGTCGGCAACAGTGAAAACCATGAGGCAACTGGTCAAACTGGAGATAAGAGATATCGACAGCATCACACGAGAAGAAGAGATAATATCTGCAATCAGAGAAGGTCTAGGCGACACAAGCCAGGAAATAATTATTCACCTGACAGGAGTAAATAGCTCTGAACAGAGGCGAGCTTTCGTCACACTACCAATGAAAGACGCGTCGAAGATATTGACGGAACAAAGAATTAAAATAGGATGGACCCGGTGCCGTGTGAAGCGTTGTCTCGATGCAAAGAGATGCTTCAGGTGTTTCGGGGCTGGACACGTGCAAAAAGACTGCAAAGGACCGGACAGGAGAGACCTCTGCATCAGATGTGGCGAAAGTGGTCATAAAATGAAGACCTGCGCTAAAGCTCCGAGATGCTGTATCTGCGCATCAGAGAACAGGAGCGACGTTGGACACCTCCCCAGGTCAGCGTACTGCCTTAGCGTGGCCAGAAAAGAAAAAACATGAAGATTCTCCAAGCGAATATGCACAGAAGCAGAACTGCAAATGACTTGCTGCACCAAATTGTGCTGGAAAACCAAATCGATGTAGTTATTATTAGCGAACAATATAAGAAACGGGAGGACGGTATCTGGATAGAAGACGACACAAAGACGGCGGCAATATGGATTCCGAACCCTATTACGGTATCTTATATGAGCGACAAAACAGGAAGATGCCACGTCCTAACACACATCAGAAACTGGACGATATTTAGCTGCTATCTGACCCCAAGTGACGACATTCAGACCTTTCAGACGAAACTCGAAGATATCGAAGATAACGCAAGGCAAATAGGAGGGAACATTATAATAGCAGGAGACTTTAACTCGAGAGCTCAGGAATGGGGTATGCCATCAACTGACTCTCGAGGCCGTAGAGTCCTAAACATGGCTGCTAGAATAGGAATAACAACAGCAAATGTAGGAGCAATACCGACATTTAATCGAGTAGGGAACGAGGGCACAATCCCCGACATAACGCTAGTGACAGAAAACAGCGCGCACAAAATCGTCGACTGACCATAGCTACATAATGTTTGACATAGCAGAAAACGAACTGACTACAGTAGCACCAAAGAGAAAAGGATGGAACGTTAACCGACTGGACAAGGCAAGGCTGATACAAGAAATTGACACAAGACAAAATCGACAGCGAAGCGGCAATATAGTAAGCGACAACATGGCAACCATAAAACAGGCTTGCAACGCTGCAATGCCAAAAATGGGCAACCCTCGAAGACAAGGACAAGAAGCGTACTGGTGGACAGAAGAGATAAAATCTCTTAGAGATGCCTGTATTAAAAACAGACGCCGCCTTACGAGGGCTAGAAGGAGGGGGATTTCACAGAGCAGGACAGCCAATATAAGAAATCTAAGAAGGACTTAAATGCTGCTATCCGTAAAAGCAAAACGGAGAAATGGAAATGCCTCTGCAACGACGTCAATAATGACCCATGGGGGTTATGAAGAAGCTGAGAACAAGAGGTACAACACCGAAACTGGAGGAAGAGCAAATGGACCATATAGTCAAAGCACTATTCCCTGCCCACACAAATAGCATATCAAGACATACGCCACCAATAGCCGAAGAACAGATAGAGCCCTTCACAGTGGACGAGCTGCTGAAAGCGGCGAAAACTCTAAAAAGGAAGAAGGCGCCGGGGCCCGATAACATCCCATCAGAAGTCCTCAGAGTGATCGCCGAGAACAGACCCCAAATACTGCTGGATATGTATAATGCGTGCATTACCAGCGGGACATTTCCAGACACCTGGAAGGTGCAACGGTTGGTTCTGATAAGCAAAGGCAAAGGAGATCCCCTGACACCATCAGCTTATCGACCACTATGCATGCTCGACACAACCGGGAAGCTACTAGAGAAAATGATCAAGCCACGATTATCAGCAGCGATCGAAAGAGGTGGAGGACTCTCCCCGAGGCAGTATGGTTTCAGACCAGGCAGATCGACCATTGGAGCAATCCAAGAAGTAGTTAACCAAGCGCTCAGCAGCCAACAAGGCAACCACTTCTCAAGACCGGTAGTACTACTAGCAACTCTGGACGTTAAAAACGCATTCAACAGCGTTAAATGGGACAACATAATTGAAGCTCTGCAAAGACGATTCCAAATCCCAGGTTACCTGATGCGGATAATACAGAACTACCTTGACAACCGACGACTATTGTATCAAACAAAATCAGGAGAGAAATGTATGCAGATAACTTCAGGAGCTGCACAAGGATCTATACTTGGACCAGAGCTATGGAACATCAGCTACGACGAAATTTTCCACCTGGACATGCCTGAGGACACGACCATCGTGGGGTACGCAGACGACATAGTTCCAGTCATTACAGCTCGAAATACCGAGTACGCACAGCGCAAACTGACGCAGGTAATGATACGTGTAAAAAGCTGGCTAAACTCACAAGATCTGAAACTGGCGGACGAAAAAACCGAGCTACTGTTAGCTACCAGAAAAAGAATCCCTCTAGAAATAGACATGAGAGTAGGGGAAAACTTAATAAATAAAGGTTATAAAGTACCTAGGTGTCAGGTTGGACTCAAAATTGACATTCAGCGCACACATAAAAGAGACGAGGAAGCGAGCGACCGAGACTACAAAGGCGCTAAGCAGACTCATGGCAAACGTGGGCGGACCCTTACAATCAAGACGGAAACTCTTGATGGAGATAAACCATGCAATCATGCTGTATGGGTGTGAGGTCTGGGCAGGAACCCTTGAGACTGCCTGCAGGTCAAAACCACTACTGGAGGTGCAAAGAACCATGGCTCTTCGAATCGCGAGCGCGTATCGAACGGTATCCGGCCCTGCTGCACTAGGTATCGCAGGCGCGATACCAATCGACTTACTTGCTAAAGCGCGAAAACGGATATATGAGAGGCGACAGACAGGAGAGACGACGAGAGCGTTAATCGAGCGGACCAGAGAAGAAACCCTCCAACAATGGCAGGAAAGATGGGCAGCTGAAGAACGAGGAAGATGGACAGCTAGGCTGCTACCAAACCTGGTAGCATGGTCTACAAGGAAACACGGAGACGTGGATTACTACGTTACCCAGATGCTGACTGGCCATGGCTACTTTGCCGCCTTTCTCTACTCGATAGGGAAAAGAAATGACGCCAGATGTATATACGGAGATGCAGAGATCGACAGTGCTGAACACACCATCTTTCAATGTGAAAAGTTCGGACCGGCGCGCATTTGCCTGGAAGAAGTTGTTGGGATAATAACACCGGAAAACATCATCACGAAGATGATAGACAGCGAAGCAGCGTGGAAACTCATTGCAGGATTCGTTGAGAACATCCTCAGGGCGAAGAAGCCTGATCTGGATGAGACAGCTGGGTGACCTGGACGCAGAAGAAGATGAGAGCGCATAGTGCTTAACTGGCGCCACCTCGAAGTAATGCGAAAGCTTTTCCGAAGTGGAAACACGGCCAACGACGAGGGGGGGTTTAGTGGGTGCAAGCCCCACATACCTCGCTTTGCGACGGCAAACGGGAGATGCGTTAGGCATTCCCCCTCCTCAACCCAAAAAAAAAAAAAAAAAAAATTATTATTGCTATTATTTTCATTTTACATTTAATTTTATACGTATTATATTAATATTATTATAATTATTACTATTATTACTGTTATTATTCTTAAAAAGTAATATTAAACTTAACATTTCCCCTACTTTTTTTTAAATTATACTATTCTTAATATTGTGAATCGATTTCCGAAGGTTTTTGTTTGCTTCTTCCAATGGGAATGCCTTCTCTGATACCTCTGAAAATATAAACAGATATTTATTAAATTGGCTATTTTGAATAATATATTAAAATAAATGAAAAATATTGTTCATTTGTTTACCTATAAAAATACTATACAGGTTAGAAAACCTTTTTAGGCTTTTTTTTCCGCTGGTGCCGTCTAGGTTATGACTTGTGACCAAGTCGTCGTCCAAGACGTACCGAATGGCTTTGGTGAACGAGTATTTCGTGGTCACGTTTGTTATTTTTGCTTTCTATAATGACAAAAAGTTAAAATCTTTACTCTTACAATATAAAAACACTTACGTAAAACTCTCGCAGCTCAGGAGTCATAGAGCTCTCGAAGAGCTCTATATCGTACTCCGTCTTTAGGGGGAAGGGAACCCCTGTCTGATCCGACTTTTCTTCCTCCTTCAATTTGACCTTGAAAAGTGCGGTGGTCTTCGCCAGCTTTTCGGCTAAGATGTCAACCTTGCGGTGCAGAGCCGCATTCTGCTCCTCAATAAAATTTTTTTGTTCTGAAATGGTAAATAAATTTATTTAGAAAGGATTATATATATTGATATATATAGCAATTAATACCTTTTAAGGCGGCAAGAATTTCTTCATTAGATGAAACTGTAAGAAATTGAAATAAGTAATCAAAAATTAAAAAAAAAAATCAAGAAACTTACGAGATCCGGATGACTGATCTGTGAATAGTAAAGTAATATTTTAATTTAAGTTTTGTACAATGAAATTTATACTTACTCAACTCGGCAAAGTCAATCCGCCTAATTTTTAGTGGTGGCTCCGACATTCTAAGTAAATAAAAAGAACATAATTGAAATCATTGTTTTATAAATTGAAACTTCCTAATTTTTTTTTTTTTTTTTTGGTTTCGAACCATGGAAGGTGAATCTTCAAAAGATATTTAAAGCGCCGTCGCTTTAAGGGGTTATATACCTTTTTCTCCAGAGAAATACAGGGTTTTTATTTATTTTTTTACCATGTTACCATTGTTTTATTGAAATACAATATAAATTTTATCAACGTACGTGTCCTTAAGTAAATTCGTATAAAATTTCGAGTGAAAATTTTCATAATTTTGGAAGTTACAGTCCTTGCCGTAGAAGTCCTTTTTTCAGTAGTGGCTCACGGTGAGCATGAAAACAAGGACACGGCTCAACTTAAAAAGAAAATGAAAAAAAACTACGTTAGTATATAGTGTTACCTAGTTCGTAAACGAAGGATTTTACGAAAAAAATTACAGTTACAGTGATTATTTTTTCAAAAAAACCGATTTTTCGAGGTCTAATAATTTAGTTTTTTGCCCCAAAAAAATAGAAAAATTTGTCGAAAATAAAATTCCTTCGTTCACGAACTAGCTATTGTATCTACAAACAATACCCCAAAATTTCAAATCGATCGATGTAGTGGTTACCGAGATATCGTGCTCACCGCAATGACCTTTTCTCAAAAATGCGATTCCGAGATAATCGCGTTTAAAGTTTTAGCTGGACATTAGGTAGTCATGTACACCGTGCGCTATGAACGGCTGTATCTTATGTTCTAGTGCCCCGATCTCTAAAAAATTTTGCAGAAAAATTTTTGAAAGTATGTACATCAAAAAAAAAAATTATAAAATTTTTTTCGATTTTTTGAGTTTGAAAAAGGTATATAACCCCTTAAATATGCCCGATTCGTAATTAAATTACGCCTACGGACTAAACACCTCCAAAATCCTAAAAATCCCTAAGAAAAGTGCAAGCAGGGAACTAAAACTGCTTCCTGTTTGAAAGGCATAACTACAGCCTTTCTCCTAAATTCCCTAACTGAAAATTTTTTAACGCTCATCAGCGTTCTGAAATTTACTAAATAAATTCCTAAGCTAAACGACCCTAAGGGCGCATCAAAAAAGTTTGTTTTATCATTGAATTCCCTACCTAATATAATTATTTCTCCTTCATTGTCCTCAAAGGACTCTATTTGTATTGGGATCTCATCCCCAACGAAACAAAAATTGTCTGGTTTCCTATCGCTAAGCCTACAGTCTTTATTTTAAGAAACCTGCCTTCTAACTTAATTTCCTCCCTTTCTGGAGCTACATACGTTTCCTCTACCGTTCTTCTATAAATTTGTTCTAGAATATTTGTTGGCTTTCGGACCACTTTTTTCAATAACTGCAAATAATTCTCAAACGCGTAAGAGGAACCTGCAATCGGATTTCCGATTCGATTTACAGTCTCTCTTACATGGAGTAGGCCATGAACATTGTAGGAAACACTGTTTTCGCCGAAGACAATGGGAAAATTTTCAACAAATAAATTTAACATTTGTTGAGCAACCTCAACATTATTTTCCCGCTGTTTTTGCGAACAGAGCAGTCTATATGCGCAATGCAATAGGAAAAAAATATAGTACTGCTCTTCATGGATTGTATCTTTAAAAACTACAATTCCAGTGTACAATAAAAATTGGCGAAATTCAGTACTTTTCCAATTTGGAAGTTCTAACAATGTTCTACGCTTTCGTGAGAATTCCCTAGGTATGTAGCCCCGCATTGACGTTAATATATCAGACATCATCATTTTATATTATTTATTTTATTTGGAATTTTTTGTATTACTTTATTATAATAAATTCTTTCAAAAAATTTACGCATTACACCCAACTCAATGAGGTGCATGCAATTCCAAGGGAACTTGGGTAACCATACCGATGCCAAGTTTTTCAAAAGCGGACTGAGACCCTAAGTAATCTTTCTGGTGATGATTTGGATATTTCCTACTCGCAAAGTCAACATCTGTAATTAACTCAGCACAAGAAGTACTGTATGTTAACGTTGCATCTATTTTGCGTCCCACCTGAGTGCATTTGGTACAGCCATAACTGGATGTATGTCCAGGTGTACCTGTAACAAATGCCCTTGCAGGAGTGTCGCACACAAGAGCTCTAAGATCAATTTTAATGTTTTTATTTAAAATGGTTAGACCATTTTCCATTACATCGGACAACTCCCTAGTAAATCTAGACAAATACTCATCTGAATTGGATGGCTTATTTTGTCCCGAAAAAACTCCTACGGGGAAAACCGGACATTTATTTATATTATTTACTCTAATTAGTATGGACCACAATTGTGCACGTGAGCTTTTAAATAATGGAAGGCCGTCAACATTAACGTCAATACTTAATACATCCGGTAGTTCCGGAACTACATCAAGTTTATTTAATTGTTTTGAAAGGCCAATATGCAAATAGGAACCACCTCCAACTTGCATAATATTTGGCTTTTCAGTACAATTAAATTTATAAAATGGCCTAACATTTAAATTTTCTTCATTCAAAATTTTTACTAATTCTATTACACAGCTACGCTTGGGCTTGTGTTTAATAAACCACTTCCTAAGCTTATAATTAAGATCCTCCTGACCCTGCTCTACCTCCATGCTTTCAATTCCTTCCTGACTTCGTTCTTCACTTAAACTTTCTAGCTCTACATCTTCCTGCGTAAAATTCTCATTACCCTGAGCGCTAACTTCAACATTTTCTTCTACCTGACTTCCTTCTAATAATCTTAACCTTCTAGCTAATTCTTCTTTTTCCTTTTTAAGTTGGTAATAAAGCTGAAAATATTTAACCATTTTTTTTCTAATCTACAAAATCATCTAATAAAAAAGGAATGCTGAAAATTGAAAACAAATTTTTTAGTTTAATATTTTAATTAAATTAATAAAATTTTTTGGAAAATTATATAATAAATTTAATGATAGGAATTTTCTAAAAAATTTAAATTATTTTTGATAATTGATTATATTTCGTTATTCATTAAAAAGAATGAATAAAATAATAACAAAAATAATTTTATTAACAATAATGGATAAAATAATATAATTATATTTATTTAAATATATTAAATTATGAAACTTATTTTAAAAAAAAAAAAAAAAATTAAAAAACTTATTTTAGAATAATACTTTTAAAATTTTCCAGAATTTTTAAATATTTATTTAAGGGTTGATGTGTCGTAAACCGCGCGAGATGTCGAAAAATTTTATTTATTATAAAGCATTTACTGTGGGCCAATTAATAAAAATATTTCCTCAAATCTTGGCGGGCCAGTAACTAAACTCGTGCCAATAGCAAAAATTAAAATTTTATAGCTGAACGAAATAAACTTGCGAGAGTTAAAGGGGGGCCTGCTTCGTACAGTCAGTATTGCCAGTTAAGCTTATTATAAGCTAGATTTTTAATAAAATAAGCTGGAATAAGCTAAAATTGAAAAAAATAATATTTTTATTTTATATCAAGCTATGAGCTAGATGAAAATTTAACAAGCTTATGTTAATGCAGATTTAACAAAACATAAAAATATTTTTTTTTTTCAATTTTAGCTTATTCTAGCTTATTTTGTTAAAACTCTAGCTTATTCGGACGCTCATCACCTGCCAACAGTGCTTGTACAGTTGAGGCGTACAGTTGATGCAAAGAAAAACCCATAAAGCGTCGATTTGAATTAGCTTAAACTTCATTGGGCCCAGTTTAGAATTGGGCCCAGCTTACGATTGGGACCACTTTATTAACTGTACGCCGGCGCACATAAAAGGGATGGTTTATTTTAAACACAATTCAATTTCACTTTGTTTACTTGCCCTGCAGCGCCTTATGGTTTTTTCAATAACAAAAAAAGCTCTTAAACATAATTCAAGCACTTACCTGGTTTTTTTAATCAAAAGCACTTCACAATTAAATCACTTTTATTTCACAATGCAAGATCCAGCACAACCGCTTCGGTGACGAACAGCAAAAGAATGACGCAGGTCAGTTTTTTTTTTCTTAATTTGCGTCGTCCCTTTTGTTTCGTCTGAGACTTTTTGGCGCGTGCCTTGCTGGCATACCCTTTAGATTTAAAGTCATACCCGACTATATATGCAACGCGAATTAATAAAAGGGCAAGATTCTTAAGACTAATATTAGAAATGTTTATTTAAACTATTTAGTCAAATTATAAAACCATTTAACAAATCTCTTTTTTTTAAATATTAAAAAAACTAGATAATATTGATTTATAATTTGACTTGTAAATTTAATTTAAATATTATTCCCAGACAATAGCTGGTATATAAAATTGTATATAATTATACTTATTTAAAGTAAATTATGTTAAAAAACTTTAAACCTAAAAGTATACATAAGTCGAGCATGCCTCAGCCGTGGTTCCCACCGAAAACACAAATTTGTGTTTCTAACGGTAAATGCATTCCAATGCCAACAATGCAATGAGAGAAACGAAAAAATAGAAGACAAATTTGGTGTCAGGCCGCCGTCGTTGCCAAGCAACGACATCGTATTCGAAGAGTGAGAAAGAGGGGGAAACTTAGGAGCATGGTACAATTATACAAGGTAGTCTCGTCGGCAAAAAGCACTCCCTTATTCATTACTCACCACAAGTGCGAGTGAGAGGAGTCTGCGTAGTAAGTGCGAGTGAAACGACAAAAGAGCTTTTTGCTTAGCCCTTAGATGGTGCATGGGTCTTAAATTGCTCATTTCTAGTTATAGGAGTTGAAGTTTTTTATAAATTAATTTTTAATAGTTTTGAATTTAAAATTAAACGTTGTTTTTATTTTCGGATAGTTATTTCTTTGTTTAAGTTCTTAATTTTAAAATAAATGTCAATATTAAAGTAAGTTTTTTTAATATCTAAATTAATGTTTCTTAGTAGCTATTAATAGTTTCTCCTTTACATTTTTTGTTATACTAAAAATTATCTGAAACGATATGTTAAAAAACAAAAACAAGTTTGCAGCCAAGGGCAGA